TGGCAATTAAATTAAAAAAAAAAGTGAGCTATTAGTGGCTTATGGCTCCCAACCCGGTTGGCTTCCCCAATTACTGCTCTCAGAGAACAGCTTTTTACCGCCATTGATGGGGTTATTAAAGTTTAAATTCTAATTTTACTTTCAATATTTTCATTATCCTAATTTATTGTTAAGCAATGAGTTGATAAAAATAAAGATTCGGTTGTTGTTATACAGTTGTTGTTAGAAGAGACACAAAAATAACGCATGGCCGGCTTACCCTATGCAATCCCTCGATAGCTGATACATTTACGCTGGCTTTACGCCACATGTCTCCTTTATCACCACGTGCAAAGAACACTAAGTTCCCACTTACGGTGACAGTCAGGCTTCCAGTAGTTGCACGAGGCATATGGTAATCGAACTGAAGGCACATATTCCCAAAGAATTTCAGTGGAGGACTGTACAATTTTGCGTTATCACCTGGTTGTCTTAGAATGGATGCTTCTATATACATGTAATAACCTTATAGGGTTGAAGATGGTTAGAGAGTAGCAACTTAGTCTTTTTCGGTAGAGGACGGTCCAATTTTGTCATATCATTCAGCTCTCTCCTGTGGACTAAATATTTCTAAAAAATGCACATGTAATAACCTACAAAGAGGAAAAGATGTAAGGAAGGCAACAAGAAAAAAAATTGACCAGAAGGCACTGAAAAAGTATCTAGTTGACTTAAAACAGTATTCTAACAATGTTAGTCCAGCTTAAATGACGTAGAATGATAATCTGAAGTACCTATTAGTAAGTTCCCAAGTTTCCTTTTATTCGTTTTATTTTTTTCTTTGAAGACAGACGTATTATATTCATGGTAGAATAAAAGGGCAAATGATAACAAAGCCCACGGATGTAAACAACCTTGTAGTTGCACCGATCCGAAGAGGCAGTCGAAATTAGATACTCTCGCCTACATTTAATACACCTGTGCAACGTACAAGTAACAAAAAAAGAAACAAAAACGAGCAGTTTAATCTAAGAAAACAACAGCAACAACAACAACAACAAAAAAGGGGTAGAAAAGAGTGACATGTAATTAAATTTGCAAGACTAAAACTAGCGATATTTTCATGCTAAAAATGAAGTAGAAATGCCGACCAACTGACTATTAAATTTGTTATACGTTACAACAGTCCTCGTTGCTAATAGTAGGACTGGCTAAAAGTTAAGAGCTCACCGGTCAAGTTTCCAGTGGTGTGATTAAAGGAAGGTCCTGTATCGGTAGAAGGTGTGCTTCCCTTGTGTCGAGTCCAGTCAAACTTGTCATTAATGCCTTGCAGGAAACCGCACATTGAAACATCAAAGTTGCATATTGTTTCAAAGTTGCCTATTTTTTGTAAGTTAAACAAAACAAATAAATTCTCATATTAAAAATTGAGCCTTTTTTTTCCTGGGGTCAACGATCACCTCAAAGGCATGATACGATCCTAGAAAGTACAATTACACAGGCTGACCACGAGTTAGTTAAGAGCGGTGAGGCTTAACCTTAATTAACACCTAAGCGTAAATGCAAGCGTAATAAGGGAACATGCTCTCCAAGTAATATTGGAATTCAGGTCTTCTAAATTGACTAGAAATGCATCCAAGAATGGCTCGGCTGCTATATTTACTAGGAGGAGAGGCGCATTGTTTCCAAAATATTTGCGTTGAAGGGCTTCATAGCCCGTTGCTTATTTAATAAGTGCGGGCTTTATTTATTTATTTCTTGCTTCCTGTAGACTGCAAAACAATCGGTTTTTTTTCTCAAAATCAGTAAAGAAATTGGTAAAGCGTGGCGTAAGAGTCTTACGCGCGCTAAGCGCGCGAGCCTTACACGCCCGTAAGGCGCGTTTGGCGAGAGAGAAAAAACTGACTGTCCTTTTTCCATACAATGAGTTCGCTCCGACCAGGGGGTTCAAAAATGTCGTCGAGCTGTCAAAAATCTGTTCACAACTCCGCCCTCTTTGTGAATTTGATACACTCGGTGATTGATTTCGAGGGAGAATAGCTCGTGTTATTGTCTGCATTTGGCTTGGAATCTTGACGCTGTAATCCAGTAATTCTAAAGCAGTTTTTAGCGTTGCTTCTCTGTGGAATGTAGTGTATATAGTGAAATGTAGTATATATAGTGGAGGATCAAAAATGAGTGGAAGTGGCTGTACGACAACAAAGCCTGTGCCTGCTCCTCGAAGAGGGAGAAAGCCGGAAGAGCCGAGGGCTTTAGTCCAGTCAATCTAGGCATTTTCGAGGCTCAACATCAAACTAATTGCAACAGAATTGTTTTCAACGCAATTTAAGTAAGGGTGGCCTATCTAGCAACACACTAAAAATCCGCCAAAATCCGTTCGGCGGAACATGTCAAAATTAAGGGTTAAACATTTTGAGCTATTAACACAGGGCAACCACGTTAGTTAATCATTAGCTTTTAAATTATAGCGGAGCTCTCGCGCGCGAAGCGCGCAGCGGAGCACCATGGGTAACAAAATATGGTAAACTCGCCATCCGAGAAAATTTGGTAATCACGTGACCGTACACCGACCGCCCGCCCGACCGTCCGTCCGCACCACAGGCATGCCAACGCAAAATTTCGGGTAGTCTGTGGTGAGGGTTTTTTGGCGCGAAAACGAATGGCAACCCGCGTTTTGTGAAGCATAAACAACTCTATTAGAAGTTCAGGAACGTCAACTGAGAAAAAAAGAAATTTTTCGTGTCGGTTGACATTTTTTATACATCCGTATTTTCTACATTATTTATTTATTATGCCCTCTAGTTTGGAGTATAGAGATAAAGAGAGGCAGAGAAAACGAGAAAGTAGGCGGCAAGCAAGCCAAGCTCAACGAGAGAGAGAGCGGCAGAGAGCTTGAGAAAGGAGGCGAAACTGCTCTGACGAGCAACGGGAGAGGGAGCAAGAAAGAAACAGAGAAAGGAGGCGCAATTTTACTGACGAGCAACGGGAGAAAGAGCAGGAAAGGCATAGAGAAAGGAGGCGCAATTTTACTGATGAGCAACGGGAGAGAGAACATGAAAGGGATAGAGTCGAGAAAGGAGGCGCAATTTTACTTATGAGCAACGGGAGAGAGAACAGGAAAGGGACAGAGAAAGGAGGAAACATTTTACTGAGGAGCAACGCGAGAGAGAGCAAGAGAGAAACAGAGAAAGGAGGCAAAATTTTACTGACGAACAACGGAGAAAAGCGCAAGAAAGAGAAAGGGAAAGGCGACAAAATTTCACTGAAGAGCAACTGGAGAATGAACGAGAGAGAGCAAGAGAAAATAGACGCCTAATAAGCGACGAGCGGCGAAGAAGGGAGCGAGAGACAGCAAGGGAAAACAGGCGTCGTATAAACGAAAAACGAACGAGAAGGAGGAGAAGGTGAGCGAATTTTTGCCGAGGTTAGCTTTCTGTTATAAGAATCGGGGATTTTACGAAAACAGAGGTAGCTTTTGTTTTGTTTGTTAATCAATAACCTCTTTGTAATTGCATCAGTTTTTTTTTTGGACCAATCACCACACGTCATTTGTTGTCACGCAGTCTAGAGTTGATACTTTTATCATCCAATTGAAGTTGACCTGTGTCCTCCAAGTTCGTTGAAGAGAAACGATATGATTGAAATTTCACTTTAACAAGACAGTCGCGTCCAAGATAAAATTATAGAGTAACCTTATAATTCGTGCTCCTCGGTGTATTTTCGTTGTTTCTGGCGCGGAAAATAAGGTAATCTTAAATTGTATTAATGAAATTTTATCGAAAATTATAACCATTGCCATGTGTCCGATGCATCGCTGAATGAATGATAACTCCTTATGTAAATTTTCGGCGACTCTGGCCTCTGTGACAAGTTAAAATGATTCAGTGTTAGAGGAATGTAAATTATACGGTCTGTGAAAGCGTTGTTATGTTTTCTGAAAAGAGAGCAGAGAGCACCTTGAATTTGAAGATTTTCAATGTCTGTTGAAAGAGCGTTTTGGTGCAGATTGTTCGAGCTTACCTCTATTTGTTTTATTCAGGGTAAACAGAATTTGAAGGATCTATTCTCCCTCTTGTAATTGAAATAACTTTTATTATTTTACTATAAATCTAGGCTTTTCCATTTTGTAGATACCTATCTTCGAGTGTTTAAGAATATATATGGAGATCTATGTAAATAAGGAGGGCAGCCAGGGTTAGAAATTATTTTTGAATGTTGACAGGCCAAACAAATTTAAGCTTGGTCATGTCTAGTTACTAACCGGTCAAAATAAATTATTACCTGCCAAACAAATTTTAGCTCGGACCGGTCAAAAGACAGTAAAAACTCGCAGGTAAGAACCTGGATTTTCCCATTGCATTAACAGGTACGTTCTTACAAAAATAGTTATTGGCAAAAAATTTGTCTATTTTTCTAAAATGAAAAGGTTCTTATTTTCTGCAGGAAAAAAAACATTGCAGCTTATGTCTCCCAAAGAGGTTCACCTGAATATTTTCCAGGTGTATAGAATTTTTTTTATAGATTTGAGGAAATAAAGATGTGTGTCAAATATTGGGCTAAACAGGTTCTTGTATAGAGCCTGGGGCCTAATTATAACTGGCAAGTTTAGCCAAACAGGTTCCTAAAAACCAGGTTCTTAGTCACAGCTAGGTTTTTACTGTATTGAAGACATTGTACTTTGCAGTAATAGCCAAATTAAGACAAAAATTATGTGATCGTAAATGCTCAAAAACTCCTTGTGTTCAGAGATGGGGAAATATTATAGACCAGTTTTGAGTGTGGTTATCAAGTTGTTCATTCATTGGAGGGTACAGTGTAGTAAATAATATTTCCAGGAATATTGTCAAGCTCAGCTCGTTTATTCTTAAAAACAATTCCCCATAAGAGTTAAACCAGAAATCACAACTTTTGGCTCAGTATTGTTCTGACATGTTTTCTTTGAACAATAGGTGTATGTAGGGGTGAGGGAAAATTCTTGCCCAACTAAAGATTTTATCTTATCTTCTTAGCCATGGAAGAACATTAAAGTCAGGTCCTCCAGGTTGAATGTAGCATGGAATGCTCTCTGCACTGGTGAACAAGAGCAAAGTCACTCAGCAGGTACTGATATAGTTCATGGTAGATGGTATTTATTATAGAATTGCATAATTGAGTAAAATCACGCATTCTGATTGGTTAACGAAGAGAGGTATTCAGTGTGGAATTGCGAGTTGAAAACGAGGCTAAGGGATTTTTTTCGCATCTACGTAACAACTATCGTCAAATTGAAACACAACAACTGCAAAAAAGGTTTTCTACAATGTCATTTTAAAATGTTTTCAAAATCATTGTCACCTTTTGTATATCCTTTCTTAACATACTGAAATGTCGCCTGGTCCTCCACCTACTGTTCCAACCTAAACTGTATTTACGTTTTGCAAAAGCGTCTAGTGCGGCTCATAACAAAAGCCCACTATCTAGCAAATACCGCCCCTTTGTTTAGCCAGTTTTTAGTAAACACAGTACAAAAACAAGGAAACATAATGCAAAAATAAGGAAATAAAGTGCGAATTTCTCAGACAATGAAAACCTGTGATTGGCTAATAAATAATCAGTGTTCTCCAGAAGTGCGGGCAACTGGCAGTTTCACTGGGAACTCTTTTCCAAAGTGCTAGCTACTCTTATGAGTCAAAACATAAAAAAAACTGTCTGTAACTTTTATCTTCAATTTTTCGTAAGTTCCATTTTTTTTTCGCTGAAGGATAAAACGGCACCAAAACAAATCGTGTTAATTCATTTCTTAGAATACTAGAACATGCAATTTCATCGGAAAAATAACAAACAAACAAAAAGCCACAAGAGCTTGTTTGAAAGTTTATCGAAAAACACATGAAAATACATGGAACTAAAGTGCCTTGAACAGCTACAAAAGAAGACAGGTGTTGTTTATTCATGGTTGTGAAGCCACTCGCTGAGGCACTTGCCGATAGATAGCTGCGGCTTGTTTATCCGACATGAAGAATATAAATCACAAGCAACTAGAATACACGCTATGCAGCCATTCACTACAGCAATCGAGGCGTCAGTAAAGCTTCTTTTCTTGTTCAGCAAAACCAGCTTGTGGCTTCAAACAACGTCATAACAAGCGACCAAGGTAATAGTTTTTCTCTGTTGTTCTTACTTTTGTAACTGCTCCAAAAATCCAAATTCACAGTAATTTTGATGGCTGTTAAGAATTATTTTTCTTCACGTTTTTTTAGCTGTCCCGCTGTGTAAAATCCTAGAATCTCGATGAGTTTTTAAAAGTGTTCATCTTTACAATGTTTTGATTTTTCATTCATCCAGTCCAGGCGAGTCGGTTCATGCGTTGACACTTCTGATAGACATGTGACATGTGAATAGCGAAACTCCCTTGTCTTTTCTGGTTTGTTCTAACAAGATTCAAAGGGATTTTGTGGGCGTTTTAAATAAAATAATTATTCCACTTGCGCTTGTTGGATGAGATGATTATTGCCAACTCAGCGCTATGCGTCTCGTTGGCTATTTTCCATCTCATATCCAACGTGCCCTCGTGGAATAATTGTTAATTATAAAATAACTAAGATAGTACGTGCATTCTGATTGGTTAAAAACCAATAGTTTATTGTGCCGGTAAAATCATAGAATACTGAAACATACTTTAAAGTTATTTTATAAAAGTAAAAGACCACATTTTCTAAAGGTTTGCTGGTGTGATAACCCACTTGGGATGTTGGGAGAAGACTGGAAAAGCTTGTAAACCACCAGCTTAACTTCTCAGATCTCTGGGTCTCATGCCCCCAAACCCCCCCTTAGATACGGTACTCTCGCTTTACCAGCACTTGGTATCAGGCACCAGTTACTTTACATTGGGAGCTGGCTACTTTAAAACTTCTGGAGAACACTGAACAATAGAAATATATAAGAACCAATGAGCCTCAGGTGTCACAATCTGCTTGCTTATCTTCTTAGCCATGGAAGAACATGAAAGTCAGGTCCTCCAGGTTGAATGTAGCAGAAAATGCTCTCTGCTTGGTGAACAAGAGCAAAGTCAATCAGCAGGTACTGATATAGTTCATGGTAGATGGTATTTATTATAAAACTTAATAATATACATGAAAAAATTTCTTGAATGAGATTGGCTTAGAGCAGTGCAGTTTTTAGTAAACACAGTAAAAAAAAACAAGGAAACATAATGCAAAAATAAGGAAATAAAGTGCAAATTTCTCAGAGAATGAAAACCTGTGAACAATCAGTGTTCTCCAGAAGCGCAGGCGACTGGTGGTTTCGCTGGCTACTCTTATGACTCAAAACAGTAAAAAAAACTGTCTGTACCTTTTATCTTGAATTTTTCAGAAGGTCCTGAAAGAAACAAAAACAATAGCTTGTCGTACAAAAAGCTCTTTGGTGTATGACAATTTGCCTTTTGCTAATGGTATTATCTATATATTTACTGAATGATTTTTGATGAGACATTGCCAGATAATATTTTTTAATTATAAAATAACTAAGATAGTACATGCATTCTGATTGGTTAAAAAGCAATAGTTTATTGTGCTGGTAATCTCATAGTAAACTGAAACATGCTTTAAAGTTATTTTATAAAAGTAAAAGACCACATTTTCTATGGATTTACCAGCATGATAACTCACTTGGTTCTTGGGAGAACTCTGGAAAAGCTTGTAAATAACGAGCAAAACTTCTCAGATCTCTGGGCTTAATGCCCCCAAACCCCTCCCTTAGATACAGTACTCTCGCTTTATCAGTGCTTGGTGTCAGGCACCAGTTTCTTTGCTTTGGGAGCTGGGTACTCTAAAACTTCTGGATAACACTGAACAATAGAAATATATAAGAACCAATCAGCCTCAGGTGTCACAATCTGCTTGCCCAACTTATTAAGATTATATCTTATCTTCTTATATTAGCCATAGACGAACATGAAAGTGAAGTCCTCCAACTTGAATGTAGCATGGAAAGCTCTTTGCCAGGTGAACAAGAGCAAAGTCATTCAGCAGGTACTGATATACCGGTAGTTGTTTATGGTAGATGGTATTTTATTATGAAAGTTAATAATATACATGAAAAAATTTCTCTGTGAATTTGATTGGCATAGAGCAGTGTACATTTTAGTAAACACAATGCAAAAACAAGGAAACATAATGCAAAAAGAAAGAAATATAATGCAAATTTATCAGAGAATGAAAAACTGTGATTGGGCCAATAAACAATAGAAATTTATCAGAACTAATTAAGTGCCACAATTTGCTGGTGGGAAGCATGTATACTTTTAAAACTTCCCCCTTTTTGGTGTAATTAATTATGCTCTGTTGTCTTACCTAAGTAATCTTTCCTTTTTCTTGTAACACTTTTTTTCTCAATATTTTATTTTATGAATTTACCTGATTATTTTTATTTATTTATTCATTGTGGGTTGTTTTTTTTTTCATTTTTGTAACCAAGATTTTGAAATTAATAAAGGTGTGGGTGGGCGTGTGTGTGTATCAAATAAGAATGTTAAAACTTTCATATATATATTTTTTACATGGACTCAAAAGAGCAGCTATATATAATGAGTGATTTTGTTACCTCTGCATTCTATCTATGTTCCTGACACATAAAAATCGCCAAAGACATAAAATAATTCATGGGTATATCGATCTGAACGTGTGTATTTGTAGAAATATCCCGTACGTGTAATTTCTGTGGCAGTTATGGTTGTTGTTTAGTGATGCATATTTGTTTTAGCCTTTGTTGACTTCTGCTTTAAAATAGAAGAACTATATTTTAATTTCAGTATACTATAATACAGAGTTTTGGAGTGTGTCTTCAGATTAACTGTCTGTGGCTGGTACATAAAGGCCCAAACATTTGCCATTTTGGACTCATTTTTTTTAACAGGGACTCATTGGTTCTGGACTGGGACTCATGATTTCTCACAAGCTGAGTCCCAGAATTCATCACATTTATTTGTAACAAAAACACTGTATAATTCATTGATTAGACCTTTTGTCATGTAATTCAAGTGTTGTTGTTGTGGTAAACATGACAAGTCATCATGTCTGTACTTAATTCTCCATGACTGGATTGTAGGATTTTTGTTCTGTTTGTATTTGATCTTGCATTATTATTATGGGAAAACTTACCTTAGGGTTGCATTACTTTGACTAGGACAAAGTTAAAATACATTGAATTCTCATAGAGATAATTATTTTTTGGATTATAATAATGAGTTCATTGGTTGGGTCACTCCCATTATATTTGATGACTGGTTTATGAAATATCAGCACTTAGAAAATGATTGTCAAGGTTGTTGTATTATCCGAAGTTTCAAAAGTAGAAATATTGTGTATTTTCTATTTGAAATCAGGTTTTGAGAACACTTCCACAGATACAGCTTTATAATAGTAATTCTTGTACAGTTATACAAGCATGCAGTACTAGGGTGCGAAGAAAAGGAGGTCAGTTTTGTGCTTGTCCTTCGGGAAGGCTGTAGCTTGCATCCATCAGCTTGCATCATTATCCATCAGGCAAGATAAAAAATAGAATCCACTAGCCCCATAGCTTATATGAATTGTGTAGTTGGTTAATACAAATAATTCATTTACTAGGAGAAGAGTTGGAACAACACACTCCTGCAGTAGAAAATGGCCCAATTGAGGGAGCAAGCAATGTGCAGGAAACACAGCAACCTCTTCCAGAAGTAAATAATAGTAGCCACTTAGAAGATGACCGCCTAATTGCTAGAGCAAGGGCAGTTGGTGTGGACTATGAGTTTCCAAAGCCTGGTGAAGTGGAAACGGAGGATGACAGAAGAAAAGATTTTATTTACTTGAATCAAGTCCATTCCTTTTTCTCTCCAACAACAATGATATATTAAGAAACATTGTTATTATAGCTGGAAATTTCTTTCCAACCATGTGCACACTCATTGGTTATTGCAATGTCACCTGACATCTAACAATGAAACTTTTTGGTGCCAATATTCTCTAAGCAGGCAACATCGCAAAAATCATTCACATCAAAGGGTAACAGTGCACAATTACCCGTGAATGACCAACAAATGACCTTCCAGGGAGGTTTAATGAATTTCCATGCAGCTATAAATTTTTTAAAATATTAACATCACAAATCACTTAAAGACTTGGCCCATGGGAAACAGTTAATTTTGTTTTCCAAGAATCTAAATATTTTCCAACACCATTCTCATTAGTTACTTCGAGGTCACATGACATCTAACTGTTTCCCACCACAATCTCTGAGGAATTGCCAGGCTAATTGACCAGCTGCGGTGGAAATTGGAGAATGACTATATGAATGGTTAGGTACGTTAGGTACAGTGCCAAAGTTGCATTGATAACTGTGGTGATCTTCCCTGAATTTATTTCTTCATTCTGCATTGCCAGTATATGAAATTAATGTATTTATTATACCATATATAACTTTGTTGTGTGAATTCACCTGGGATAAGTTAATCTTTTCTTGTGCTGTTTTAAAGTTATAGAGTTTTAGTTTTAGTTTCAACTTTTAAGACCTTTTTCTTTCCTGCTCTTTAAACCTTATCTAACTACGTGTTACTTTTTTCGTAGTTTTCTTTGACTCCTCTTCTTCCTTTGTCGGGAGTGGGTTGCGGCTACACGTAGGCTAGATTACATCCCGATACCGACTGGGGGGTATCAGTATTTGCAACGAGGTTATATCGTATTGTGTACCAGTGCGAATAAAACGATGTTCATCATCATCATTATTATCGTTATTATTATTGTAATGAAATCGGGAGCTCCGCTTTTAGGCTTGGCTAAATCTATATATTATCCTTTTTTTATCAGATTTCTGTTGGCCGCAAGGGTAGGAAAAATATATATCAGAGCTGGATTTTTGAATAACGTTACAACCAAAATAGAGAAGTCAACATAAAAACTAAGAGTGCAGTCATTGGCCTTTTTCCTTCTCATCCTTTCTTTCTCCTCGCTCTTTCTATTTTTCCTTTTCTTGATTTTTTCTAGGAGGATTTTCGGGCTCGACGTTTGAGGGTCTTTCTTGGCATGAAAATTAGATGACGACATTTTGTTACTAAATCCTGACCTTTGGAAGTTTTCTTTTAAGGTTATATATCTTGCTAAGGCGTACGTTTCATTGACCACTGGATGAATTAATTTAATTCGCTCGTAGTTTTAGGAATGAAATGGCTTGCACAATGCAACCCTTACTTAAATTCAATAATCTAGAAGAGCGCAGCATTAGAGCACTAAATGCTAAGTGTTGAAGTGGGAGGAAAGTTAGGTTATCTCTATTCTCCTTAGTTGCTGGGAGTACACCACTGGTTTCTTTCATATTCTTTGCCAGAAATTTTGTTGCATGGGCTCGCTGGACCAAACCTTGCGGCCAGAATACGAGTGACAGTAATAATGATTGTCATTACGAACAGAAAAACAAGAATTTGCCACAATAGGAAAGTGAATCTACTGTTCAAAAGGTTCTTAACACTATGCTTCTTGGTTTCCGAATTCGTAGCAGCTGGTTAGAGCTTTTGCATATCGAACTGCATCATAACAGTAGACATGGCGCCTAGTAAGAGTAGTGATGAACCACTTAACTCCGCAAGCCACAAAATGCTTCACAGCTCCCTTCAGATGATCATACCTTTTATCCAGTTTTACAAAGACAAAAAAATATATTTTGCCGAACTTTAATCGGTCTAAGGATATTTACGTCATCTGTCGATAACTTCCTTTAGCTACGGATGGCTGCAGATTAAGCAGATACAGTCTAACCTCTCCTTACGGACACCTCTATAATACGGACAGTTCGTTTGGTCCCCGAAAAGCCAAAATTATACATTCCCTATCTCCACAATACGGACACCTCTGTAAAGCGGACACTTGGTTCTGGCTCATTAGTGTCCGTATTAAAGAGGTTTGACTTAAGTGTAAATATAATATAAGTACATTATTTTAGTAAATGTAATATAACTATATTATTTTGAACTTCGAACTTTCATAACATCAGTTTCTAATTATAGTCTCTGATTCTCCATTTTCGTGGTTCTTTAATCAAAGAGCACGATTAGGTTAGTCAGGACTGAATTATTCTAGCATCTCACTCTGTATAAAATTGCAGAATGTTACAATCGATGATAAGGAATCATGAGCGGCCCTCCATAGCATCGCGCGATGTGCCATCCAGGGTATGTTTTCCTTCAGTTTCGCTAGATCTGTCAGAAAACCTCTGCCCGTTGTTGACATGTTTTTAAGAGGGCCTGAATTGGGGGGGTCCACCTGTCGGTTGTCGGTTAAAATTCAGTTACTTTGTCGGTAGTAGGTTAACATTTTCGATATATGTCGGTTGTCGGTAAATCTCAGTTAATAGCGGAGCCTCCGCGCGCGAGCGTGGAGCTTCATACCTAAGAGAAAATGGAAAACTGTCGATGCGAGAAATTTGGTTATGACGTCACGGTACGTCCCTCCGTACGTCCGTGCGTTCTTTCCTGGTAGGGGTAAGTAGAAAAGAATTCATCCCCTCTCCCCTAGAGAGTTTTGTTTCCTATTGTTTCAAACGGCTTTAGAAATGATTCATTGCCCAGAATGCTATCGTCTTTTGCGACATGTACTTACAGTGCCCAGTTTTTTAATGCGCGGCATAATAACTGAATAACGAAGCTTTTGGAAAGCCGACTACTCGTGTAAAAGAATCGTTAGCTGTCAATGAAACGGTTTGAATACCCTTAGAATGATCTGACTGATCTGACTGCGTGCGACGGCTAAACAGTTTCTCTCAATACATAAAAAAGCGTTGTCAAATAGCAAAAGAAATGAGCAGAACACTTCCTTTTGTTTCATCGTTGCGTTTCAGTTTCGTTGAACCGGTCAAAGCAGCTCATATTAAAGACGCGCTCTTTTCTCGATTGGTTTGTGCACTCCATACGTCGGTTTCCATTTGTAAAACGATGGAAGTTAAGTAAATGCAAGAGAGGATAATCATTCTCCCTTGGTATGACATTTCTCTTTGAAATCCTGAGTCGGTTAACATGTAAAAACATTGAGGAAACATTGTATAAGATAATTATTCAAATTTAGATCCGTTTCAAAACATTAATATGCAGGCGGGAGTTTCAAACCAGGTCGAACGTGTCCTCGGGCTTTACGAACGTAAGCGAAGAGGGGTACTTTCAGAAATTGACGAAAAGCCAGAACGTCCACACAACGTAATCAGAGAGTCTTCCTTAATAGTCAGACTAACATATCCATATGCTGACACATGAATAAAGTGACTTGCCGAACAAATATTTAGCCTCAAACGTGACCCCCCATACAAAAAGTGACTAAACTAGCCGATTTCAAAAGTGGAAAAGCCAGAACTTCTACAAGGACTACATAGTGCTTATTCATGTTTTATTTTTCATGTCAAGCACAAAAAATCACCATTTCTCGCGGTTTTAACCTGATGTCTAATTCTTGGCAAAATCCAAGATGGCGGCTAAGATGGCCACCATTGTTGGTGACGTCATAGGCTTCCAGCAGCGCCATCACTCATTAAATATACCTCATCTCGTTAAGAAGATCAAAGGCTTTCCACTGTTTCGAAATACTACAACATACCAAAAACTCTAGGGGAGGGTTCCATCCCCCCCCCCACTTGTACCACTGTCTGAGTGTGAATTTAAGTGTACGTCCGAGGGATAATAACGATTAAGTATAAAGACTGCCATGTTGGTTTTTGCATTTTGCCTTTAAGTCGGCTGAGACATTACTTATCAGTGGATGTCTGCATTCCTTACAATTATTTTTCCTATAACTTAAAAAATGAAATATATTATTTAATAATATCAAAGACTTTTTAAAGTTCCACTGTTTGTACAAGTTAAACTGACATCCGAACAAAATGCGACAAGGTGAGAGTTAAATCAGCTTTTCAGCTAATTGTGTCTTTTGTTGGAATTCAATCTTTAGGCAATCAGTAAAATTAGGAAACAAATTTTCAGAAACTAAACAGGCTCTTGCCGTTTTTTTAGCTACAAAAAGCCGCAGACGCAATTGTGTGTGGTTAATACTGCAAGTACCCTAATACCATCCACATGATGGGTGTTTTCTGTAAGCTATGTGATTTTCGCGCGTAAGTCGCGCGAAAGGCAGACGTTACATCCCGCCTCGTTTCCATGTTGTGCTTTAGGGGAGATATGGGGTTCTAATAAAACCCGTTTTTGGCAACTTCCCCCACAGGGATTTCCAGGGACTTTTGATATGTTGTAGAGAACATCTTGCTGAGTCAAAAAGCGTTAAGAAACCTTCTTTTGCAATTGGCGACAGGTTGACCTATTTGTTTTCGCAAAATGCCTGGACTATTAATTATTAATAGCTGATATGTATTGCACCCAGTTTCAAGACTTTCATTTCATTTCATTTAACTACGTATTGTTTATGCAACATGATCGTTTATTTCACCTTTGTTTGCCAATATAGCACCGATAAAATCACCAAAGCTTTTATTGTAAATGGAAACTCGGTCTCCCTGTTGATTACAGGGCACAATAAAAAGTAACCAAGAGAGGTTAACTTGACAGAGGAAAACGGCCGCTCTAGCCTTTTGGATACATCAATTTTTTTTAGTAAAAAACTGCAAGGGGTGACATGCTATACATCTATACCGGAGTGAAAACGTGTGTTGTAGCAAATAATTGGTCGTTCATTTGACATTTGGCTAAGTAGTGACTGCCTTTGTATGAGATTTCACTTTTTAACTCGTGGGTACGCGCGAACGTAGACACGAGTTATTTGCAAGGACAGGGATATGCAAATGAGTCACTTGCTCACTCTTAGTAGATGGACCTCGTAATTAATCAGGTTCGAACTCGAGAGTGCGAAGATGTATCTTTTCCGAAGA